TTTTTTTTTTTTTTTTTTTGCTTGGGGCGGCAGAAATGCTGGAGCCGGCCCTGCCCACACGATCTGCAGTCACACCTCGGATTGCATTGTAAATACACTCTTAGCATGTGTCCCTCTAGTGGGTGCTCCCAGCAACTGTAGCAGCCTACTACTTACTCCTAGCTAAGGAGGCCTGTGGTTTTGGTGCTGAAAGTCCTGGCTTTGATCGTGGCTGTAAGCGACCGTGATATGTTGTAATGGCATAGCATGAGATGAGAGCTAAAGGGAGGAAAGGTGAGGTGGGGTACATCAATCACATTGCAGTACTGTGTCCACCATTCCCCTTTGGTGTTAAAGGGACAGTGGTGCTGGTGAAAAGTGTCTGGCTGAGAGCCCCTGAGACTGAAAGCCTCTGTCTAAACTAAAGGTCTGTCCCTCACCCCAGCAGTCCAAAAGGGCTGAATTCTAAAAACAAGGCAGAAATGACCCAGAGCTGGGAGCGGTGTCGGATTCTGCCCCAGGCTCCCCGGGCTGTCTGTGGCAAGTCTCAAAATGTGGCTTAGCTGAAAGATGTCGGTTTTCCTGCAGGAAGATTCGAACCAGTTGGAAATAGAAAATTTTCATTTTGTGTCAATTTAAAATGTCACTTTGGATTCTCAATTTAAACAAAACATATGGGATTTGCTGTGGAGGAACGTTGTAATTTCATTTCCCTATGAAAAAGATTGGTTTCAATGAAACCGTGTTTTTCTGCAGGAAGGCTGGCTGCGTGAAAAATGGTGAGCCGCTCGATTTAGATTAGCCTAGAAGTAAAGTTTCTCTGATGCCTTTCACCAAGTGCCTTCTGAGGGCCCAGTGAGTAACGCTGCGAACACAGGAGCTGTGATGCGTTCCAGCACAGCTCGGAGTTAATTGCACTCGCTTGGATTCTGCTGTTTGGTTTGTTCTTTTGATTGCAGTAATTGTTACCTTTGCTCCGCAGGGTGCGAGTTAGAGGGATTGGGTCTATGTTCCCTCTTAGTCCACAGAATTACATTACAGTTGAATGGGAAATTCTCCTTTAGGCATTTCACAGTCTGTACGGGCTCTCCCTTCCCTCCCTCCCCCGTAGTGTGAACATGTCAGGCACTTACCGCTCTGGAAGCTGGTGTAGGTTAGAGGTATGAGCGTGGGGCCTGGGGTCTCATCTTGGCTCTGCTACTCTCTTACGGTGTGACCTTGAACACTTCCCTCCAGCTTTCTGCCTCACTTTCTTCCTCTGTAAAATGGGACCAATAACTGTGAGCCTGAATGAGTTAATGTGTCCATACAGTGCTTTGAACATGTAAAATGCTCTACATATCCTAAGTGTTGTTAATCCTTCCGTTCCAGTTCCCTGCACCAATGTGTTCAGCTCTTGACGCAAAACATTTTTGAAAAAAAAAAAAGTTTCTAAAGAATTGAAACGTCCCTTTTTGACATTTTCCAACGAAAAATTCCCGGTTTCCCGTTCAAAACAACTTTTTCTTTCAAAATTTAAACTAATTACAGTAAAAAAACCATTTTTTAAACAAAAAGGTCAAAAGTGAAACAAAATCTTTTGAAATCATTAAAACATTTCCATGAACCCAAACTGACTTTTTCTTCCCTGATTTTTCATTTGTGACAATTTTCAAGATTTTGACTTTTTGTCCAAGTATCTTGAAAATGTCTGTAGGATGGGAAACCCAGTTCCTGCCCTGCTCTAGCTGTGATGCCCCAGCATGTTGGGCTGGCACTGCTCAATGGAAGGCTGAAAGGTGCTGGTTCTTTGCACATCTGTGCACATCAGTCTATTGCTTGCAAAGTACTCCACATGGCTTGGGTGGAAAGGGCTCTGAACGTAGCGGCCCCTGGAGAATGCAACGCTATCCATGCCGATCGCCTTTAATGGGGCTGCAGCAAAGTTGTGTATTTATTTATATGCTACTGCTGCTCTTTAAGATGCTCACAAGAACATTATTTTTCTATACAAGACAAAAAAACCCATCAGTGAGTCACTGCAGATAAATCACCAAGGCTCAGGAGCCAGGCTGGCTGCCCAGCATGGCCTCATTTATCCCAGAAGCTGCCGTACTGAGAGCATTCATTATTGTCCCTGCAGCGTGTCTTCCCGCAAGCTGACGAGCGAGGCCTGCTTCATTCTCTATGAGTTCTGGCAGGACGTGACTTCGTGGAGAAGGTTTGAGGCTAATTGCAATTCATTGCTGAAGGTGTCCGGGCTGAGGAAAGCTGCATCCAAGTGCAATTCTTATGAAATAGATAAGACGGGATTTCTCTTTAGGATGCTCACCCTTTTTCACTTTTTCCTGCACCTGCCAGTAGCTACTGCCTCCCTGATTTGACCTGTCTAGTTATTTACACCTACTGTATCTGCACAGGGCGGCAGGATCAAATGATCACAAGGGGGCATTTGCATTGTGAATGATGTGCTAACCACCATCACGTGTGGATGGGTGAGTTATCAGCACATTCGAGACAGAAGGCGTTCTGCTCTGGGGAATGCAAGGACTTCCCCCCTACCCCGGTCCTCTTGTGGGTGTGCACAGGGGTGGCAAGTGTCCGCGCACACTCTTCCTCTCTTGCACACCCACACAACAGCTCTGCCCCACCTCTGTATAGCAACGTGCAGGCTGGCTCTGACACAATCATACTGGCTTTGACATTGTCCTAACTCTCCATATTGCTTTGCAGTCACTTACAGTCCAACTGCAGCAAGACGTTCCAGTGGGCCATCATTGACTTGCTGGAGTCTCCAGAGCTTGTGACCACCATGCTCTTCCCAGGTGGGGTACTCTTCCACCCAAACGTATTGAGATGAGCCTCTAACGGGAATTGCAAACCATGGATTCCATCCTGCCGCCTTTACTCATGAACAACGTCCACTGACGTCATTATATACTGCATACACCCATCTAGTACTGTAGGAATCCATTCACCCACTACGGCAATGCAGCCAGCTCTGCGGCGGAACGCAGTAGCTGTTTAACAGCACAGAGCAACACTACCCAACAGTAGCAACAGTTAAGAACAGGACGTGAGGATGTAAATTTAGCTGCAGAAGGAATTTAGGGAGACAGAATGTAACTGTTCAAATATGAATTTGGCCAGAACATTGAGGCTAACACCCCAGCTCTTGCAACATTTATTCTGTAAACTGTAAGGAAGCAGGCGAGAGAGAGAGAGAGAGACAAGCAGGATTAATGAATTAGTTAAGGCTTGTAAAGAGCTATGAATGTGTAAAGAGCTACCGCAGTGATGTGTATGATTTATTAATAGCTGTTACTATTACAAGAGGCGATAAGCATGCTACACGCTGCGATGCTGTTTGCCTTCATCTCTGGTGTATTTTTGGTCAGTTTTCCGATGGCCCTATCGGCCTTTCCTGGGTCACAAATCTCGAAGCGGGTGCGACACCCTTCTGAAAGCAACCTGGCTCGTGTCTTAAATTGCTGCATTGAACTCCCAGCCCTGCCCCTGCCCTATATTCCAAGATGTGGCCCTAATGGGTAGCTCAGGCCTCATTCCCATTTGTGGACAGAAATTGTGGTCACATTTTCCTGCCCCAGTTCTGTGTGAGGAGCACAAGGCAGGTCGGCAGAGGGGCAAGCGCTCAGATTTGTGCCTAAATTTCATTGCAAGGCACCTTAATGCAGATTTAGCAGGGAGCCCAGGCCTCAGGCCTTCTGGAAACGTGGTCTCCCTGATTGCAAGAGCAGTGAGGGAGAACCTCAGCCAGCCTTAAGCAGGGGCAGGTAAAACAAAAACCAGCCCAGGTCCACCATCACCCCAGAGCCCCACCGGAATCTGAGCTCAGGGTGTGGCTAATCCGGATTATATTCTCTACCCAACTGTCATGTTCCTCCTCCTTGCTCCAGTCCTGCTGATGCAGCCCCCCGCTCCCAGCTGTCTGCCCTGTGAAGGGCTGGGATTCGGAGTGCGACTTCATTGCTCCTTGCGCTAGCTGCCACAGTGCGTCCTGCTGACCTATGGGGAAGGCACAGCTGAGCGGTGATTAGGAGCTGTCCTAGCAAGAGTCAGCAGCAAAACATGAAGCTAACGTCCAGCAAGGCCATCGCCAGAACTGACCCAGGGGAGAGGATGGCAGCAGGTGCCCTCTCCTAGTGGGGCTCAGCTGTCTGGCTCAGCTGGGGGCACCCAGCGCTGCTCTGGAGGGAGAGGTTGCCTTTTGCACATCTCCTGTTCTTGGGAGATGAGGGAGGGGCTGTCGCTGAGCTAAAAGGGGCCCTGTCCGTGTATCAAGCTGACACAGTCAGGCAAAATGAACTGAAGAGCCCCCTGTGCTGGGCAAGGCTCAGAGCTGGTGCTGGAGTGTTAAGCTCAAGGTGTTAAGTACATTTAGTCCCAGTATTTCTGCCTTGTTTAGTGGGGTGGGGGAACAACCCAGGGGGTTGGAGATCCTGCTGGGCTAGATCCTCACATCCTTGCACAGGCAAAACTCGCCGTGACATCTGTGCCGTTTAGCCAGCGTGAAAACTCAGGGCAGACTGTGGCCTTGGCACTGTGCCAGAGCAGGGAGGGGTATGAGGTTCCCATGGCTGCGAGTCTGGGGGCAGTTCGTCCTGGGATGAGTGAGCAGAGGGGTACCCACCTGCCCCACAGCCACCTTACCCCGCACTGAGCACCTGAGGCTCTCAAAGCACTTAGTGAATCAATCCCTGCAACCCCTGGATATTATACCCATTCTACAGAAGGGGAACTGAGGCCCAGACAGAGTCAGTCGCCTGCCCAGAGCCATGGGGAAGTCTCTGGGGTAGAACCCAGCTCTCCCTGTCTTTCCCCTGTGCACTAAACAATATATGAGTGCCCCCTTTAGCACTTTGTGGCTCATGCTCTTTCCCTGTTTGCTTTCCCAGCCTCCTGGTGGATTGTGAATAATAATTGATCCTCTGCTGCCCTCTCCAAAAAGCAGCCGGCGCGCGGACGGACGAGGAATCCTCACTCCCAGACCCCTGGCTCTCCCTCCCCAGTGTGTCTGCAGCCTCCCGTCATTGTCGCTTCTACAGTCCTGTCTGCTCCCTCCTCTGGCTGCACCAGGCTGTCCCTCCTGGGAGTATTTTATCCCTCTCCCCTCACAATGTGACTTTCCACAGTGATGTCACATTGCTGCCAGCCAATCAGCCTTTCCAGTTATGACGCTCCGCCCCTGAATGTACCATCTTCGAAGAATGCACAACCACGCCCATGTGAGTGGATAAAGAAGCGGCTACCATGATACTTGATGTCGGGCTGGCCTGAAGTCCAGTGTCATGTGATGACATGCAGGGGCCAGAACTCACGTTGGCCTGACCCATGGGGCTGGGAGCGCTGCAGAGACAGCAGTGCTGAGCCTGATCCACGTTGGGGGGGAACAGAGAATGGAGGACAAGGGACGTTTATTGTCCTCTGGCACTCACCTGGTGTTGAATTCATGGCAAGGCACTGAGGGACTCTGGATTGAGCTGTGTCCAGCCACTGCACTATGGGCCCTTTGGGGGATGGCAGTGTGGGGAAACAGGGGGATCTTCTGTGCTCTGAGCGGGGTCAGTGGAGCCAGGCCATACACAGATCCTCTGGGGATCAGCGCGGGACGGCTGGATCCAAATCTCTGCAAAGGTCCCACAACACCTCTAGACAAGCCGTGTGCTCCACTCTCCCTGCCTATGCCCAGCAATACAGTAGTCAGGGAGAGCAGAGGGTGGGCAGAGTGTGCACCCATGCCTGCCAGCCACCTCCATGAGCTCTAATTTCAGCCTTCCTGGCCCCAGCATGGCCTCTTTAAGGCTGTGGCTGGCGATGGACTCATCTTAGTCTTAGAGCAGTTGCACTAGCCGCTGGCACTGGCCTAATTCTGTAGCGTGGAGTCGGATGCAGGGGAAACTTGGGAGGTGGTTCAAGTGTCCACCGAGCCCAGATTTCTTCCTCTTTTTATACCCAAATTGTTAGTATTAAACAGCCCAGTCACCAAAAAACGCTGAGCAGACACGAAGTGTGGAGTTTTCCAGCCGTGCTTTCCCATCAGGTAACCGGCTGTATTTCATGGAGCAATAATTAACTAGCCCCAGACTTTCCATCTTCCACATGCTTTAGCAAAAAGCTCAAGTCAGGAGGGCACAGGGTCACATTTACTCCTCATGGCCACTCCCTTCCCCCTCCCTTCCTGGTTTGTTAGTGGTGCTAAGACTGCTACGAAGGCCTTATGGCAGCTTCCAGGAATAAGCATAACAATTTGGATTCCAGCTGTGGGCAGTGGTTCAGGCATGCTACTGGGTTAACAAAATTTCCTCCTTACAAGAGGAAACACTCTCCCCCACTGCAGCAATCCTGCCACCCTCCCTGCTCTTTCCCACCCCCTCTTTCATGGCTCCCTCCTCCCAAAGTGGGTACAGAGATGCCTGCTGGCTGACTCAGTACTGAGATTCGCACCCCTTCTGTCTTGCCCTGGCTACTGCAGCCGTAGCACTGCCTGTTCCCAGCCAGCAGACAGGCCAGGTCAGGAGGCCAGGCCAGGCTCCCGGGTGGGCTGAGGAGAACAGAGGAACTCCCAGCTGTAGGTAGACCTGCCATGGCAGGACTGGCTTTGCTCAGTAGTCCTGAGCTCTGCACAAACTGTCCCTCATCTCTGCTGCATCCCCTAACGCCCTAAGCAAATCCTGGGATCCAGCCACTCCTGAGCAGCTCAGGGCCGGCCCGTGGCCTAAGGTGTCACTTGGGTGAGGTTCCTTGCAAAGCAAATCCAGCTATCCTGCTGCAGCCTCCTGGAAGCTGGATGGGTGTGACCAATAGCCCCTAGGGTGTGTTGTGACAGCATGAGCATGGCTCTTTCCCTGCGGTGCCTGCTTTGCATCTGATCTGCATGACTCCGCTAGGCCCCGGGGCTGCAGGGCCAGCCTGGCCTTTGCTCATCGAGTTTGGCAAACTCCAAGTGACAGACCTCCTTGGCGTGACAGCTCCCTAAGCAGCATTGCAAGTGCTGCTATTTCTACACCCGCCCTCCGCTTAGCTACCAGCCCTAATCGTTCCCGACGGAACGGGAGTGGGAAAGCTAGAATAGCCCTGGGAAGCACGAATGGGGTCAATGAGGAACACACATCAGCTCCCATATTATTAAACGTGGCAGAGAGGGGTACTAGGGCTGTTGGCAGGATTTTTGTGTCTGGCTAGTCCCCACTCCAGCCAACGTCCTGGGTTGTTTAGCATAGTCTGAGAGCAATAGTCCTCCGCCAACTGGAGCAGTTCTGAGCTACATGCTGCCGGAGTCTCTTCCTCTCTCCAGGCACTGCTTGTACTGATCCTGGGACCTCCTGAGCATCCGCGGTTCTCTGGGACATCAAGGGGAGTTGAGGGAGCTCAGCACAAGCAGGATTGAGTCCGAAAGGCAAAGTTCTGCTCTCGGCTCCACAAGGCAGATCTTGGCTCTCATCCTCTGCCCTTTGGCCAGGCTTGGAGTTTGGAGCCTGTAAAGGATGCAGAATAGCAGCTAGTCCTGGGGGAGCCAAGCCGACAGAGTGGAGTTTCTGGGAGATCTGTTTCTGAAGGGTGGGCAAACAATCAGAGCTGAGGGACATGGGCCCCTCTGTGGAGCTGAGAGGACATGAGGCTCTGTGGCATGCCCCCGTCAGAATGATCCTGCCCTGAGTCTGCTAGCAGACTGGTGAGGATACAACAACTCAACAGCATGTAGAATGTAAACCCCCATGCATATCCAGCACCTTCGACTGCCCACGAAAGCACTGCAGCACCCCACCCCCCATGCCGCCGGTGCCCCGCCCCCCAACTGACTGAAATGGGGTGATTCCCAACTTACATTTTGAACTAAATTGTATCATTTCTTTCAGGGGTGATTTTTGTCCTTCAAAATTCCTTGCATTCTAAAATCAAAACGAAATGTCCTCCCAGGGCCCTGCGTGGCGTCTCTGAGCTACGAGGTGGTGCCCTGGGGTCAGTGTCTTTGCTATTCTATATTGCCAATCCGGGGCTTTAAAACATTAAAGCAAAAAGGAAGAGCATAGTTCTAAAAAGAAAAGCAAAAGTCGCCTGAGCCAGAATAACAGCCGTATCAATTATTACACAGGGCTGCTTAGTGAATGATCATTCTCTTTCTGTATATACAAGATTAGAACAGTATTAAATATTCAGACTTGCACTGAAGCTGTGTATGCCAATTCTCTTGTCTGTTAATAAACAGTTCCACACTGCCGCCTGGTGCTGGTGCATTTACTGGGCGTGGGTCGATTTTCGGCTGTCTCTTATGAGTCATTTTTTATAAGTACCTCGTTTGAATAACGGCCGCCGAAGGAATGTGTTGTTACCAAATGGAACCTTCTCAATGTACTCCGAAGTCCTGCTCATTGTTCTAGTACCTTTGGCAGCACATGCAAAGGAATGTGTTCTTACTGAGCATACATTTGAAGCTTTCTATTGTCTCTTTAGCCGAGGATTTGGCGTGTGTATAGGACATTGGGTGGGTAATGAACACGGAGGTCTGGGGCAGGACATGGCTAGGGCACTGACTGATTACAGCGTTGGGCATTGGGAATAGGAGCTGGCATGCGCATTAAGTACAGTGGTGATGGCTCTGGCTAGGAGATACCCCCGCCCCCTGAAAACCATGAACAGAGCAGTAAGAGGGTGCTGGATTCTGCTTTCCGGCCAGCACTGCTTTCCAGTCCCTTCTCCCGACTTTACAACACTCATATCTCAAAGAACCAGTTCCTGGGGAGTCGTGGTGCTGGGTGTACTGCTCTCCGGCACGAGCGAGTTAACTTCGCTGACCCAGGAAGAGCAATGAATCCTTAGCCGGAGACAAGCCTGACGCCAAGAACGCCTTCCAGCAGCGCCAAGGAAATGCACCAGCTGCTGTGACGTGACAGAAAAGGGGACAATGGCGCAGCCCCTGATGTCTATAGCTGCTGCCAGCACTCGGCGGGTTAAACACTAAGGCCTGGTCTACACTACGGGATTAATTCGGATTTAGCAGCGTTAATCCGAATTAACCCTTCACCCGTCCACACTACAGAGCCAGTTAATTCGAATTAAAGGGCCCTTTAAATCGATTTCTGTACTCCACCTCGACGAACGGAGTAGAGCCTAAATCGATTTTGTTAATTCGAATTAGGGTTAGTGTGGACGCACACCACCGAATTACTGTGTTTAAGTTAATGGGGTAGTGTGGCCGCACACCACCGAATTAATCTGGTTAAAAACCGAATTAAGGTGCTTAGTGTGGCCGCGCACAATCGAATTTATACAACCTGTTTCCCAAATTCGAATTATCTAAATTCGGATTAATCCTGTAGTGTAGACATACCCTAAGTACTGATGTACTGTCTAGAGGGCATGCGTGCTTTAGGGCAGGTTGGTTATTGCAGTGCTGGCTCCAGGGGTCCTGGCTCCCACTGCAAAGGGCCGACTGCCACACTGGCCACACAGTGCTGCTGGCGGCAAGCCCAGCCCTGCTGAGCCAGGCTGCTGGGGCTAGGCCTCCCTTCTTTACAGAAGGGCACTGGGGAGCTGCAGGGGCCGTGGTTTAAAAGCTCCTCTCTAAGCTGGCAGCCCCAAAGGTGCAGGACCCTCCTTCCCGCTGCACTGTGCTGCCAGCAGGGATTGAGCCCTGCAGTATTGCCCACCCCAAATGTTCAAAAATCATGAGTCAGGGGCACCAAAAATCATGAGATTGGCTTTCAAATCATGAGATCATGTAAACACAATAGATACTTTCAATTTGCCTTCTGCTTTGGGAGCCTTTGGCGTGCACTGGGGTCACACTTTCTCCACAGCCACAAGGGCTAGAAACTTACTTTTTCTTTAAGAAGGAAGGCTGAAATCATCACATTTCCACTTGACTCCAGGAGCTGGGGCTTTAAGGAAAACAATAATTATCACAAGATTCATGAGCGTTGGCAACACGGCCCAGAGGCAGCCCCTAAGCCCTCAGCCTCCTGGCCCAAAGGCAAACTGAGACAGCAAATCATCAAACAAGGCTCTGTTTCCCTAGGGACATGGGTTTAAATCCCATTGAGAATGGGCCTAGGTGACGCATTGTCTCCTCCCAGGGAACAGCCTGTGGGCCCAGTATCCAATATTTCAGCCGTGTCCTACAACCAGTTGTCCAAGAGCTCCTCTGTCTAACTAGGCCAGTGTCTTCTAGCACTCCCCCGCTGCTCCCCATTCACACAGCCGTTCTGCAGCCAGGCTTGATAACACAAAGCAGGGCAGTAGAATCAAGAGCTCTTGAAAAATCCCCACTTGCAGCAAGCAGTGGATCAGTGGCATTGAATTCTCCTGTGTTGGCTCAGCAGCACAAAGCCCAAGGTCAATGCTGAAATCCAGGCCATGATTCTGAGAACATCATCAGAACTTAGAGTGACCATATGTCCCATTTTGGCCTGGACAATCCCTTTTTTAAAGCCTGTCCCGGCTATCCCAGCTGTTTTGGCAAAAGTTGGCATTTGTCCCTTTGCTCTCACCAACTAGATCAGTGCCAGTAGTTCTGATTCTAGCTTTGGGGGTGTTCAGCATTCCAGACAAACCCGCTGAAAGACTGTAACCGTTGGCAGGGACAGACATCCAGTTGCTAAAGAGAATTATTCTCCCACTGACTCACAAGCGATCTCTTTTCCTGATGTCTTCAGCTATGGTTTATTGATTGTTTTACAGCTTGTTAACTCCTTTGTTTGCAAAGAACCCAGCTCCCAACCAGTTCTCGGAAGACGACAATGGCTATTGAATCACAGTTATCTGGCAGACAGAAAAATCAATGGCTCTGTTAAACCAGTTGCCTGCCTTGTTTGATCATACTGTTAGAACGCTCTG